GCGCCCTTTTCTCTCTCCCTCCCGCCTACAGCAATTGAGAAAAACCACAGAGAAGACCGCTAGAAGAGAAGAGAGATAGGTGACGGCTATTTTGAAAAGTTTATATTTGTGGGGCTCACAATAATCATATATGATTGAATTGGGTTTAAAAGTAAATGAGTGTAGGCATTTTGGATTTATAGGTCTAGATAGAACTTAATAGGTTTTTTGATAAGTAAGGGTCAAATTTTGGGTCTAAAAACAAAAACCCTTATATATATTCCAGACCACTTCTCCACCTGAATCCTAAAGTTAAACATTTTTTTTGTTTATTTTTACATTTTTTGATAGTGACAACAAACCATGGAGAAAGCAACGAAAAGCCATACCAATCGGGATCCATTGGGTTTAACATGCAGATTTGCTGACTAACAGCACGCAGAAAAGCAATTTTTCATTTATTATTCAAAAATTTGCATGCCCAAATATCAAATTCAATCAGAACATCGTAGATTGTATGTAAACGGAGAAAGAGAGAAAATTTCAGCCACCACTCATGATCGCTATCCTGTTTTCAAGATTTAGAGGAGCTTTCATGATTTGTAGGAGTTGGAAATGGTCGAAGGTCTACCATAAGATGTAGATTGGAGGAGGTAACTGGTAGATGGAGTTCAGGTGTTCTTAAGGAGCTTCTTCGTATTTATCATGGAGAAAGCAACAGTGCATCGTGGAGAATGCTTCTTCGAATATGCATTTATAATTAGAGGTTTAGGCTTATTAAACTAGAGCATAATTGTCCGAAAGCTTTTGCTGCAATGGAGGAGGAGAATCAGATTTAAATGACATTAATTTTGTTTGAGCTAAATTGTACTAGTGAAAACTTTCAAGTGGAGAAATTTTGAGATGGAGGGGATAATTAGAAGCAGACAAGGAGTGGAAAATTCTTCTGCGGTGAAAGATGAAGAGAATTAGATCTAAAAACATTAACTATTTACATGAGAATTAGCTTGATTTCTCGTGGCGCAAGTGATATTAATTTCCGTAACAGGCGAGCGCGCGCGCGCGCATTAAACCCCACAAGACATATAAGAATACATTGAGACATGACGGATGCATTCCCATGCACGCACGTTTAGCTTGTTGCCTGTATTTATTTTTGACTATATCGTAATGGGGTTACTCATGTCACCATCAAGAACCTCAAATTGGCACTTGCGAATTTCCATGTGGCCTACAGAGATCTCGGGTTCGCTACACTCAAGGCACTAGCGCCCAACTATTGAGTATTGACTGTCGGGTTAATTGCGGATATATTCCATTGTTATTTGCAGATAACCTGTAGCAGTATTGTTGTCTTGAACTCACTAACCTTCTAGTTTATATTGCAGATAGCCCCCTTGTAGTATTGTTACTTCGAACTTACCATCCCTCTAGCGAGATGAAAGGACCCGACTACAAATAAGAGGAAAACAGGATCAAAATATTTCTCCCAGGTGCCACCCCCCACCCCCCTCTGTTTAACTCTTTTATAGCTGCAAGCAGTCTGTATGGTTAATTTTTTTTTTTTTGCTCTCTCAGGAAAGGAATTCATTCAAGGGGTCATTTGCATTAATAGAACTAGAGGGATGGTATGTTCAAACAGCGATACCACGGGTTGCAATTAACTCTTAATCATATGGGGAATTAGTCTATAACGTCCAGTAATTGAGATAGTGCTTCAAAAAGTATAAATAATTCTTGACGAAGCGAATATAGGTAAAAGATGTCGCATAATATACAAAGGTATCTCATTTTCAATGAAAATGTGACCAAAAGTAAAGGGCACTCGGATAGTTGAAGCTTTCTAACCATCCTCCCCAATTTCCCCTCTCTCGCACAAAGAGAAACATATTCAAACAGCGAATTAAATATAGAACAATAGTAAGAGTGGGACAGTCAAGATGCATCGTTAGAGTTTATTCTTCGGTTTGCCTGCAACTCTCTGGGAGTGCACATTGTCTGCATGCCCGCAAAAGAGTAAACGAGATCAGTCACATGCAAAATATGGCATGTGACAACCCTCTTTCAGCCTAGATAAATAACAAGAAATTGGATTGTTAACATAAAAAAATTAACAAGATTGGCTGATTTCTGGAATATCTGTTTCAGACTGACTAGTAGTAAGAGAAAGGAAATCTTTGCAAACTGCTAAAACTGCAAGCCCATTGGCGTGATGTGAACTGCAGTATTGAGTGTAACGCGTTGTTTGGCCTGTTCAACTACCAAAAATTGCTATCAATTGTTACACTTGGATCCTAAGCTTCACTATTTATACACCGCAAATGCCCACTCAAAAGTCAATGTGGGACTAAGTTTTGGGGGCATCACAATCACCCCACCTTAACATGTGATGTCCTTGTCGCGGCATAACAATAAGCACATCCTAATATCATCGCTAGGCGATGTGAACTCTAGAGGTGGCCCCACTACACTCATACGGTGTAGCACTCAGTTCTGCATAGCACTTAACTCTACACCTCCGGCTACCTAACCGCTCTGATACTATATGTCACACCTCGGGCAAACGAGCCCTTGGACGCGACATAAGCTGTGGGACCCACTGAATGTAACTCGTTGTTTGACTTGTTCCACTATCAAAAATTGCTAGCAATTGTTATACTTGGGTCCTTAGATTCACTATTTATACGCTTCAAATGTCCACTCAGTAGTCGATGTGGAACTAAGTTTTTGGGGCATCACAAGAGAGGCAGAAGTCCATTTTATCTGCACTAGGTCCAAAACGAATTTAAAGGTTCATTTTGGATAGACCCCTGTAGTATCACAATTTGCAGAAAGACCCCCCCCCCCGCCACCCCCCCCCCCCCCGCCCCGCAAGTTCTATTGGTGTGGATAACTCCCTATACCTGCAGGAATTTTGTTTTAGGAGTCGAGTCAAAAATGTTAGCCTCAGGAGGTCTACCTGCACCAATAAAACTACAAAGGGTCATATCCGCAAGTAACCCTAGCTATAATTATGTAGCAGAAATTAGAACAAGCCTAGCTCAGATGCTGTTTTCCTGATCAGAACTAAAGATGTTGCAAGATCCATTCAGAGCCTTGGAATGTGTGTGGCTGGAAGCTTGCCGTTGGCCCACTGTCAAGCAGGATGCAGAGAGCAATGGAGCTCTACTGACTGAACTTGACTCTACTTACATCACTCCAGTGCAGCCCACTGTGGTTTTATTTGGTCATACCCTGCGATGTTGTACCTTTACTAACTCGATTAGGAAAGACAAAATCAATCAGAAGTGCTGTAAGGAAATATACAATAATAATCAAACATCTGAATTTATTTATTACAAAATTAAAGTTCTTCTGATAATTGACAGCAAACTGAGCCAGGATAAGGTTCTGATGATTCAATGTGACTTCAACTGTGGAGAATCATATTACTAGTACCACAATTCACAGA